TGTTCATCCTTTACCCTATTCATCCATGGCTTCCACCATCATCACCATTACCGCCTCCACTCACTTCAACATCAAACTCACTGCCCAGAACTTCCCCGTATGGAGACGTCACGTTCAATCCTCGTTGGTCGGCCTTGATCTTGCTGGCTACATCACTAGTGACACCCCAGCGCCAGACAAAACTCTTGCCGATTCCAAACCCAACCCGGCCTATGCCTATGGGCTCGCCAAGACCAGAGCATCTATAGCGCTATTTTAGGCTCCTGTTCTGATGAAATCCAGCCACTTATCGCATCCGCATCCACTGCTAAGGATGCCTGGGATCGCCTATCAGCCTCCTTTGCGAGCACTTCTYGATCCCGCATCATCTCTCTAAAAACCAAACTCACCAAAAATCCTAAAGGAACCAAGCCTGTTGCTGAGTTCCTCAATGAAATGCGCTCGATCGCTGACGAGCTAGCGCTCGTTCAAAATCCGATCAGTGACGAGGATCTTATGGTTCATATTCTCTCTCAATTGGGAAATGAATATGCATCTCTCACTGCTGCGTTCAAGGTTCGTGACACCCCGCTCACATACCCGGATCTCTTTGACAAGCTAGTGAACTTTGAACGTTCCTTGGCAGCTGCTGAGCCTATTCCCTCCATCATTGCAACAGCCAATACTACCCAACGGCAGCCGGCTCGCAACTCTTTTCGTTCCGCCTATGATCTGTCCAACCGAAACACTCGTTTCCAACCCTCTTCGTCCCAGCGACCAAATCGTTTCACCAAGTCTCAACCAAGTTCCAACCCTGCCCGTTCGCCTCAATTCTGCAACTTTTGCAACATACCCGGTCATGAGACCCGTGATTGTCGGAAACTTGTTAAGTTTCTCAAAGACAATCAAGTCATGTTAACAAACAACCCGTCCAACCCGATTGCTAACCTAGCCACGTCTGCTCCAGCAAACTCAATGTGGATGATGGACAGCGGTGCTTCCCACCATCTCTCCTCCTGTCCGGCTACTCTCACCTCCGTCTCCGACTACGGAGGTCCCGATGAAATCCGCCTTGGTGATGGTACTGGTTTAACCATCACACATCTTGGTTATACTAGTTTTTTCAATAAAACTAAATCTTATCTTTACGTGATGTTCTATGTGTTCCTAGCATGCGTACTAATCTAATTTTTGTTGCAAAATTGTGTCGTACTAATCACGTTTCCGTTGAATTCTTTCCTCTTCATTTTGTTGTAAAGGATCTCAACACGGGGGCGTCTATCATGCGGGGGGAGAACATCAATGATGTGTACTACCTCAACTCTTCACCCTCATCTCCTCAAGTGAATGCAATCACCTCAACCTCACCTCTCCAATGGCATCATCGGCTTGGACATCCGTCGTTTCGTATTTTTCAACTTCTTTGTAAAGACCTCGGTCTTAACTTTAAGTCCTTGTCAAGTTCTACCTTTCATTGTCAATCTTGTTCTATGAATAA